GCAGCGTAGTGTCGCCTGTGGTTTTGTTCCACTTCACTGCCTCCGCTCAGCTACACAAAGTGGTCACACACCTAAACGTAGGCCTTGCTGGCATGCCAGGGGGTAGGTTCTGAAAGCTGTTTACCCACAGCACGGTTGATATGGGGGAGGAAAGGGTCTGCAGACAAAACTGTGGTTTACTACCAGGCTGTAAACCTGCTTTTAAATGCTGTAATGCGTTTTATCACAGGAGTCCGTGGAGAGTGACTCAAACTGCCACTGAAGGAGCTGCAGTTTTTGGCACTTCTTTGTTGGCAGACTTTTTCAGCCCCCAGAGGTTATCGCTTGGACTGTAGAAACCTGAAGTGCGGGAAAGGACTTCAGCAAACACTTTCCTCAAGAGTTTTTATGTTAATCACTCATTTCAAGGTTTTCTGAGTTCAACAAGATGTGCTTTTTGTAAATTGTGGTCCCCGTTAGCCGTGCGATTGACAAGTTGTTATGGTCTGATCATGCAGTGTCGCTCTTTTGTCAAGTAGATCCTGGTCGAAGACGTTCCTGATCACAGTTTCCAACATCTTTTATATACAGTCTATGATCTAGACAGGCAGATTTGGTTTCATGGCATCAAAAGCAAAACTTTGGCAATTAAAACCAAATTTATTTGTATACAAGGTTGCGCACGTTGGAAAACATTCTCTTACTTATTTCCTATGATTTTGGAAACTGATCCTTTAAAGCAGGCGTTTTTTCTTCTGTAAATAATAGGAGCCATATGGTTTGTATTGTAGTGGCAGTCAGGGATTCATTACTGCACCTTGAGGACTGCCTCACCCAGTGACATCATTTGGGGGATTTTTTTTTAAAATCTCGCTCCATTTCATGTTTCTCACGTTTCTCATAATTTTAGTTTTCAGTTATTTGCTGCCATTTCATCAAGAACAGGTCTCATTTTACTCTAACGTCTCTACTTTAGCTTCAAACTTATCTGTATATCTTCCTACAAATGCAGTTTAGAAGGCTTTTTCATGAGGATAAGATATTCAAACTAAAAGAGAAAGAAAGAAAGAGAGAAGAAGAACGCTTAATTACAAAAACAAAGAAAAAGCATGAAAAAACTACAAAGGAAGAGCAGCAACTGCCACAAAATGACTGAGGAAGTGAATGAAGGGGCTCCAAGAATGAAAGCTCCTGACGTTACTTTCAACACCATGCTGGTGTGAGTCTCAGATTTCTAATGTCTGATTACTCCTGAGGGCTGACGCAGGAGGATTTCAGCCAATATTCCCATCTCTTCTGTCCCTCTGCAGCGCTGTGGGGCTGTGCTTGGACTGTGTGAATAACTGGAGTTCCTAATGAGACACCGGTATTGCGAGAGCTTGGCTCAGACCAGAGCCCAGTTTCAAGGACCCGCCCTGATGCAGCTGTTGTGCACTGCAGGCTGCACTGTAACGACTAATGGAGCTCACACCCACTCATATCACACATGAGAACAACTACACACACACATAAAAACACAATGAGGAATTGAAGCAGAAAAAAAGGGGACATGTTCCACTCATTTCCTGCTTCTTTTATCGCTGGCCTCGCCATAGTCACATGATTCACAGCTCAAAATGATCCTTATTTATCTCATGCTTATAGAACAGTCTCGCTGCTCTGTCATCTGTAGCCAAACAAAAAGGATGGTTAAACGTCATAATTGGCTTTAAATGATTATCCAAGGACAGCCCTACAGCTCAGCACCTGCAGAGAGTGAACCATGATGCACTGGACTGTTAGAGGATAATGGGAATTCCATTTGGCCATGATTGATTTTGCCAACGTGCATCTCGCTAAAGGCTTCCCGGCTGCTGGGCTTTTTGAGCCTGATGCATTCTTATCAACATGCTCAGCATCTTAGAAAGGGCCGGTCAGTGCTGCCAAATGAAATTAACTTATAAATAGGATCTCAGAACTTAGCTCAGTAATGTGGAGGTTTCTTCATTTCAAGCACTCAGTGAGAATATTTTTCTGTTCTTATTCTGATTGTGTTTGGACACAGGACCAAACACAATCATGCTTACATTGACATGCATAGGGCTACCTTTGTGAGAGTTTTGGATCAATTGACTGATTAAAATGTCATGAAATGTACAACTTTTAGGCTTAGGGTTAAGATTAGAATTAGGTTAGGGTTAGAAACGTAGTCGTGATGGTTAAATTAGGGGCTGAAAGGCCTGGGAATAAATGAATTCATAAAGAATGCATGGATGCATGAACAGAGAGATCTCAAAGTATTAGTAGAATAATACAAAGACAACCAAACATATGCTGCTACAGCTTCTTTTGCATTGTTGTGAGTGAGTAAACATTTCCACGTTAAGGAAAAATTATTTTACATCCATCCTCATTCAGTATATATACTCCTATATCTATATCTCTATATATATCTATATATCTCTATCTATTAGAGATAGAGATAGATAGATATAGATAGAGAGAGATAGAGATAGATATAGATAGATAGATATAGAGAGAGATAGAGAGAGATATAGAGATAGAGATAGAGAGAGATATAGAGATAGAGATAGATAGATAGATATAGATACATATCTATATATAGATATAGATAGATATAGATAGATAGATATAGAGAGAGATAGATAGAGATATATAGATAGAGATATATAGATAGAGATAGATATAGATAGATATATAGATAGATAGATATATGCATGCATCTACCCCACTATACCTTACAAATGTCATTGCAGCGTGCACACAAACCAAACGTGGTGCCAGAGACATGAAAGTTAACAAATGCTTAATATAGTCTTTAAGAGTTTCTTTTCTCTCATTGTTCTGTCAGAATTATGAATATTTGTGGTAAACATGAGGGTGTAGGTGGAACTCATTGCATGCCACAGTTATCACCAAAGCTCAGTTCATTCTTATGTCATGGAGCTCACAGATAATGGCTCCAGTGTTGCTGACTGGTCCTAACTGGTGCCATGCTGCCCTAAGCAAAAAGACAATAGTGGCTATTCTGTTACGGCCCAGCAAGAGTGTACGTGGGTGTAAGGAATGACCAGTCAGGGGAAGGGGACAGGGGTGCCCAATATGGCCTCCACACAGTGACTGGACTGTGTCGCAGTCTGGAGGGGGGAAGATAGCGCCACAAAGATCTGTCTGTCTGCCTCTACGCCCAGAATCCAAGTTCCATCGTGGGAGACACAGAGTGAAAGAAAGAGATAGATGGTGAGGGGAGAGAGGAGGGGATGCTACCCTCAGTCTGTTTCATTCGGTGGAGCTGGGACAGGATGGGGCGGTTGGGCATGTTCGGCAAGCAGGAAGGACGCGGGTCATCAGGGGATGCTGAGAGCGATGCACCGGCGAGCTGGAGGACCGCCACACAGATCGGTGACAGGGACGGCTCAGTAGAGAATAACACTTAGGGGCAGAGTTTGCTTTGTCTGGGCAACAATGGGCAGCATCCACTGGCATGTGCGGATGTTTAGCTTTAGAGGCGGTTAACAGCAATCGACTGAACAGAGGATGGACCCTTCAGTGGCTCCTTAACAACCTGGATCTGGTGCGTTGCGTCATATCATTTCCTAATGTCGTACATATTAGTCTTTTGGTATATGTGTCAGGTTTAAGTCCAGTCATTATAATAGAAAGTAGTAAAACCAGGAAATCTTTTATTATGAAAGAATAATCCATTTCATCTGCATTATGATGAAACAGGCAGAGAGAATAAAAAAGATCAAGAAATGTGATCGTGATAAGATAAAAGATCTTCTTTTGTTCTTTGGGAAATTGTCCCAGGCTCAGAGGAGCTCTCTCATAGACGTTTTAGAGAAGTTAATAAACTTATGATGAACTAATAAAACAATAAAATGCATTAAAGTGGGCTAAACTATTAAAAGAAGAAAAAACAGGAACCCCAGCAAATGCAGATGTTTTTTTGAACTTGCAGATGTTAAGAAATGTTTAAATTAAGAACATTTTATTGAGTGCTTCCAGGTGTAAGACGTCTTTCAGAAGCTTTTAAATACTACTTTAATTAAATATTAATATTTTTTTAAGTTGAAAACCTTTTTTAAAAGGCATTCAAGTGTAAGACGTGCACTCTTCTGCTGACTATTTATAATTGTTTAATGAACACTTAAACTTTTTTCGGCATTTGGTTTCCCTCCATTTTCATGTAGTCGATAAGCACTCCTTATGTCCGAGCCCCGTTTGAGTGGTGAAATCCATCAGTG